CTTCCGTGAGCCCAGGCCGCCCTCAACGTCCCGTGCGGCGGCCCGTGGCTGCCGCGCTGCCATGGCTGGGCCGGGCCCGGGCCCCGGGGACCCAGACGAGCAGTATGATTTTCTGTTCAAGCTGGTGCTGGTGGGCGACGCGAGCGTGGGCAAGACGTGCGTGGTGCAGCGCTTCAAGACCGGCGCCTTCTCTGAGCGCCAAAGCAGCACCATCGGCGTCGACTTCACCATGAAGACGCTGGAGATCCAGGGCAAGCGGGTCAAGGTGGGAGGCGTGGCCTGACTCTCCCCGCCGCTGCGCAGCGGGGGCACCAGGGGCGGCCGGGTCCCCTAGAAGGTTCTCCCTTAGCGGGGGTGAGGGCCACAGCTGGCGTCCACGATTGTCCTGAGGTGTCTGGCAAACCCCTTTCGCTTCTCCTTTCCTTCTTCCTGTCGGAACAGACCTGGCCTTTGGGGTCTGGGCCAAGTTCGGTCCGCAAAGCGCCGGCCTTAGGGAGTGAGTGCGTGCGTGCGTGCGTGCGTGCGTGCGTGTGTGTGTGTGTGTGTATGTATATGTATGTGTGTTGGGGGCTAGTGTGAGGGGGAGGCCCTGCCCTCGTGAGCTCACACCCTGGGGGACTTTGCTCCAAAATAACTTCGCCAATGTAAGGCAGTAAAGCGCCTGGCTGTGCCGACCCTTCCCCACCGCGGTCGAAGACCCCAGCTTTGCCCTCGGTGGGGAACCCAGCCAGAAAACTACACCCGCCCCACGACTAGAGCGATCAGGAAGTAGTTGCGTCTAGGACCAGAAGGCCAAAACTTTTTGTCAGAATTTCCGGCCTGGCCACGCCTCCCTGCAGTCTCTTTGTGAACCTGGTGGTGGAACTTTACTCGACTAGGGCCAGCATTGGGTCCCCTCCCCCAGCTGGAGTTTAATAGAAACTGAAAACTTCACAGATACCGGAAGGTAGGGAACAGGACCACTCTTTGACAGTGGCTCGGAATAGAAACAGCAGGATGTAGTTGCCACAGTCTTCTGGCAATGGTTTGATAAATATTTGTAATTGATGAATCAGAATTTCTTAACCTGGGTGTCAGCCCTCTCAAACAGAGGAGACCGAAGCCAGGACTGAGCATTGTTCTTGCTCAGTAACTTAACTGCACTGTACAGAAATCCTTTTCCATTCTTTCATGGGTTTGAGTTCACATGATCTCCAGGACAATTCAAGAGCACTGGGCAGGGGCAGTACAGGGTAAATGTTATCTCTGTGTTTTCAATAAGTTGATCCCTGATGCCGCAGATCTCTGCCTCCTTGGTCTGCTGTAAGTCTGCTCATGGTTGCCTTTGGCCTGAATAATTAGCTCTTTGTTTCAGCAAAATTTGGGTGATTTCTCAGTGTTGCCTTTCTCCTGCCCCATCATGGAGAAAAAGTAAGCCAGCAGTCTTTACATGACCACAGTGCACCTAGAGTAGATGTGACTGTGGAAGCAGCAACTACCTGCCTGAAGGGTTATTTTATTTTATTTTCTGATCTCCTTGGGATACAAAAAAAAGAGCAAGATGTAGCGGGCAGCTTTGAATCATTATTTGGGACCACCCCTTCGGAGTAGGTGGTGAGGGAAGAGCAATGTAATGGGTGGGATGTATCCATGGGTGAGTTTGTACCCTTTGATGATGCCGGCAGCCACAGAGAAAGTGGAGTATTAAAATATGGGCATAAACAGCAGTGTGTTCTTGCAAGCTGTCAGCCTGCTCTCACTCCAGTGTTTGTGGTGACCCATGCTAACGGTGGTCAAGGAGGGGGAAGGGTGTTCTTGTTTACCTGGCAAGATAACAACCTGTGCCCCTTTGGAGCCCAGGGTGTACTGTGTACCCAAGCACAGGTTATGCAATGTAAAACAGGCAGTTCATTATTTCTTTTCCTTACTATCACCTCCAGATTGTTCTTAGGAGACAAGCAGGTGGGACTAGGAAAGGGAGAAGAGTGGGTATGGTAAAGCTTTTAATAGTTACAATCATTGCCCTTCTTGAGAGTCTGTTGTGTGCCAGCTGTTTTATTGTGTTCTTATTATTAACCCCTTCTTATATAGGACGGACTTGCCCCAGAACACACATCTAGTAAGTGACAGAAGTGGGAATTTTTCTTCCAGTTTTTCTGACTCTAAAGCATTGAGGTTTTTCTTCCTAAACCAGACCATTTCTTAGAATCTGATTGTTTGGAGTAGCAAAGCTCTTGGCAATTATTTACCTCCTCACTTTGCAGTCAGAGAAATCTGTAGCTCAGTGCTCTGAATTAAAACTGAGCAACAGTTGATAGGGGACAGACAGTCTCTCAAGTCAGGATTTGGGGGCTCTACTGACTCATCAGGAGCAAATCATTTTCCTCTCTCCGAGTCTGTTTTCTCATGTGTAAAATTCCTCTGCTATATCTTCCAGCAGTGTAATTTTTTTAAAATAAGGTTATTGAGGTTTAATTTACACACAGTAAACTTCACCCATTTTTAGATAAAGAGGTCTATGAACTTGGACAAATTTATACAGTCCTATAACCACCATCACCATTAGGTATAGAATATGTCCGTTAACCCAAAAAGTTCCCTTGTATCCCTTCGTGTCATTGCCCTACCTTCACCCCAGCTCCTGGCAACCACTGATCTATTTTCTGTCCCTATAGTTTCAACAATGTGATTTTAACTGGAACCTTTGATGAACCAGACTTTTTTGTTGTTTCTGCAACAATAAAATTCCACGTCAGGGATTTAGTTTAGAACCTTTCCAGGATCTGTCCAAGATCCAACAAGCATCCAGTGTGATCTCCTAAACTTACTTTCCCTGTAATGCTGGCATTTGTTAAAGCTTGAGGATCCTTAGATGTAGATTACTTCGTAGTTTTCCAGCTCCTCTGAGCTCCAGTGCTTGGGAGTATGGTAGGATGAAAGGGGAAGGCCAAAAGGCCACAGGTTCAGAAGAGCCTTAATTAGCTTCTCATGCACCCAGAACAATACTACTTTTATCTAGTTTTATATTGAAGTTCCACTTGTTTTTATTTGACCAGGGAGTTCGGCTGCTAAAAAATAAAGTGTGAAACATCACAGATCTAATTAAATTCCTTTATTTCTATAGTCACTTCCCATTACAACCAGAATAATATCCAAACTCCTTAGCAAACCCTTGCCTGTCTTGCTGACTTTCTCTCCCTTTGTCCCTCACTCACTACTCTTCAGCCCCTTCTGTCCTTCAAACACACTTGCCTCAGCCCCTTTGTATTTTTGCCCCTGTCTGTCATATTCTGTCCCAAAGGGATCTGTCCCTAGAGCCCCATGTAACTACTGCTTCATCATTTGGCTTCCAATGAGAATCCCACCTCTTAAGAGAGGCCTTCCATGGCCTCTCAGACCCTCCTTCCCATTACAGGATAATTCAAGTGTAAGTTTATAGCACTTACTAGAACTTGAAATTATTTTGTTTATTTGGTTTCCTCTTGTACAGTGTCAGTTCCTTGAAAGCTCAGGGATCCAGTCTATCTTGCATATCAGTGAATTTTCGCACCTATATCGGTGTCAGACAAATGGTGTTAAGTACATGTCTGTTAATTGATTTTTATTTATAGAGGGGAAGCCGAGGCCAAAATAAGTGAAGTGACCAACCTGCCCAAGGCCATACATGAGGCCGTGGCAAACTAGAACTTAAACCCAGGGTCAGCTTGGCTTCTAAGCCCGGTACCCAGTTTTACACTTGACTACCATTCTGAGTTCCTCTGAGTTCTAATGATGACCCTGAGATTCTGCAAGTTAATTAATCTAGTAAAAGTGCAGTTGTAGCCACTGCTCTTTGAGAGAAGAATGTGGACTTGGCATTTTATAGATGTTCAACAGTAAGGATTAAAAACTCAGTGAATTTCAGGGTGTTTGTCAGCTAACAGAACATCTAGCCAGTCCCAAACAGCTCATGTAGCCTGTTCTACTGGTTAGTAGGCCTTTGTATGTAGTGATGAGTTCCTGTGCCCTATCCCATGTGGATTTCTTCTTCTCTAACTATGCACACTGAACTTCAAGAGTGCTGCTAATCTTTCAAATTATAGAGTCTCTGAGCAGGAATACTGGATTAGGAGTCTAAAGGTCTGGATCTTATGTTCAACCCCACCACAACTGTAGCCAACTCCTTTTCCCTTCTTGGAGCCCCTGGCTTTCTCATTTGTGGAATGGGTCTAATGATCTTTATTCTCCCTGCTTCTTAGGTTGTTGGAAAACTATGGACATGCTTAAAATAGATTAAATTCCCTTTATATATTTTTAAATACATAATTCATCCACATGGTTTAGAACTTCAAAATTTCAAAGACATGAAAGGGCATTCAGTAAACAAATCTCCTTTCTGTGTTTGTCCCCCAAGCCACCCAGTGCCCTCTAAGAAGAGGCAGTAAGTGTTAACTCATTTCTTATCTGCCCTGAAAGTGCTGTTGTAAATAAAACCAAGGAGTCATAAATATAAGGAATTGTTTTATTATTGCTGTTGTTACCATTTTCCTTCCTAAATTAAACAGATTATTTCTTAACCTGCCCTCTCCCACTCCTCCCCGACCTCCCTGTCTGCCAGGAAATCTCAGCAGGTTCTAAATCCTTAAAATATTCTGACTGTTCCTCTACTCACTCTTATCTGGGACAACACAAAGGCCTGTTATGTAAACTTGTTTTTGCCGATCACTGGGGACATTGGCCTTAAGATTACACAGAAGTTCACCTTATAAAATTGTACCCCATTTATTCAGCTTTCTCTCAGGTTCATTATCCCCTTTTTGGGGCTGCTGCCACAGAAGTAAAGTCTATGCCCTTAGGCCTAGGCCTCCCAAATTTAGGACCTTCACCCTTGACTTTCAAACTTCCCTTGGCGCTAAAGTCATCTTTGTTTTATGGCATTTCCAAAAGGGACAGGATAAAAGGAACCAGCTTCTTTTAAAAGTTTACATCCTCAGGCCTTCCAATCAGGGGTCCACAAGCCTGCATCTGCAAGCCTGTCAGGGGAGGGCTCAATAAAGGAACAGTGTCCTCTGCCAGCACTTCTGTCTAGGAGAAAGCTGCCCCTCCAGCCTTCACCCTGAAGCCAGACAACTCAGTTCCTTTCCATATGTTCCTGGCACCTTTCGAGCTGTTGCCTCAGCACTGGAGCTCAGAACAAGTGAGTCCATCACCAAATAAGTCCACATGCAGGCCCCTTAAGAAGAAAGTCTGCGGCTCCCTCAGCCCTCCGTCTCACTCAGCCACAATCTCCACTGGTTTTCACAGCCA